TATATATTACATATATATATATATATATATATATATATATATATATATATATATATATATATATATATATATATATATATATATATATATATATATATATATATATATATATATATATATATATATATATATATATAATAATTTAATATTTTAATACAATTTTTCAATTGAAAAATTGTATTAAAATATTAAATTATTATTATATGCTCTACAATTGTCTTGTATTGAGCACTCTTTATTCTTAAAAACGGGAAATTACTTTATGAAATTATATATATATATATATATATATATATATATATATATATATATATATATATATATATATATATATATATATATATATATATATATAATTCAATTTATTTTGGTTGTCCTCAATACTAAAAGTATAGCAGAGCTTATTAGATTGTCTATATCTTAAAATTAAATATCGCTACTCTGAGTTTCACGTCCTTTCTAGACGATCATCAGGCGATTTTGTTCACGATTTTGTTACTGATTACGTGATTGCATCATCATCATCGTCAGCGAACGGTTGATGATGATGCAATCACGTAATCAGTAACAAAATCGTGAACAAAATCGCCTGATGATCGTCTAGAAAGGACGTGAAACTCAGAGTAGCGATATTTAATTTTAAGATATAGACAATCTATATATATATATATATATATATATATATATATATATATATATATATATATATATATATATATATATATATATATATATATATATATATATATATATATATATACCGGGTGTCCCAAAAAAAAGTACTCCTGTTTGATTCGTAATAACTTCTAAACAAGTAGAGCTTTTAAAGAGAAATAACTTGCATTAAATAGAGGAAGGACTAACTTTGATTTTGATATATTACAGTTGTATTTTACTTAAAAAGTCACGGAGATATCAATGTTCAAAATCGGGAGCATATTTTGGGATGTGTCTAAAATTAGCGAAAATCGGTATATCAAATATTAATTCCAGCGTTTGTTTGCTTAATGACATATCCGGCTAACTTGTATTTCAGCGAATTGTCGTTAGGGTTTGTAAGGGATATGGCGTAGATTTAGACATCTTACATGTAAGTCTTAGCTCATTGTTCCTGAAATATGAACTTCGAAATTATGCAAGTATTTAATAGGTCTTTACAAACTTAAAGGTACATGAAAGACGATGGAAGGCAGGCGCTTAAATTTTTCTTAAATAGCATAATTTTTTTATGTTTTTAATTAATGGGTTCAAACAGACTGAGTTTATTATTTCTCGGTTAGAGCAGGATGAATATTATTCTTTATTGAAAGAAGTAATATTGCTTTTTGCAAATACGCATCACCGCGTATCGATGCTACTATTTTGTTACGTCTTATTCCAAAAATGTTGCATGTCTCT